AGGAGGTACCTCGTGCCCTGGGTGCACCTCGGGTCTGGGTGTATGTCCCCAATTGGTTCCAGTGCCAGTGGCTCCTCCCACCTGTGGGTGGACAGCATGGGAGCCACTGAGCCTGCCCAGCCAGGCTCACACGCTCTGACCCCATGGTAACTGACTCTCCTCAAGGAAACAGAGTTAGAAAACACACAGGAAACTAAATTACAACTTTATACACAAATATACATACAACATAACTGAGAGGTTAATGGGGGAAAGTTATCCAAGTTAAAATTTAGAACTTAACAACTGCTTAAACTTTTAGGCAATAGTATGATTTCATACAACAAATTTTGTGATAGTGAAATAACAACTGTCACTTGGGTACTAAACACCCAAGGAACCACATTTTGAAAACTGGGGTCACTTCACAATCCTTAAAAGTTCTCACAGCAAGACACTAAAAAGGATCAATGAATTAAAATAAAAAGCAAAGTGAACAAAATTATAGCAGGATGGAAGAAAGATCACCAACTTTTATGAGAATAAAAATTAGAGGTGATATTAAAAGTTAACTGAGAAAAATAATGACAGTCTATTGTGATAAACTGAATGCTAAGGTAAAGTGGTGAAGACTAGGCTGGTAACCACAGTACAATGCAGGCTATGCGAAGGTCTGCAGGTCAGGGACTGCAGATCCAGAAGTAATGGGTCCTATGGCTGAGGGTCCAGAAAATTACCAGTGTTCTGTTTATTCCTTAGGTATAAGGTTCAATGCTAGCTTAGAAGATAGCTTAACTCTTGCAGCCCTGTGATCAAACCAAATTTTCAAATATTTAACAATAATCTTAATGCTCTGAAATTGTTACAGTCCTACCATAGACAAAAATGTCAAATCTCAGTCGGGTCTCAGTCAGGGTTGAGGGATGGGGATGCGAAATTAAAAACAAAACAAAACAAAACAACAACAAAAAAGAGAGCACAGTTCTTGGTGCCCATAAATTAATCCTAAGTGGTAACTTTGCTTAGAAAAATCTCACCCTTTTCATAGATGTATACACTAGGTCTTTTAAAGACTGATTTCCCTTACTGTCCTATTTTACCTATCAAAATCTTCACTCTTCACATAACATGTCAATTTTTATGTCAAGTTTTAACAACCAAAACTGCAGTAGTGGGGTTATCATGATGCCAAGATTCTTCAAACCCATCAACAGGCAGTACTTCAGAAGGTTGTCCCAGGAAATACAAGATCAGCTCCGCAGAGACATTTTTCTATCCACAACCAAGTGGATTTTGTCAATTTGGGAGTAGACAAAATCAAATGGCACAGGATAAAGCACAGGAAGGTGAAAATTGTGTAAATACCCATACACCCTCCACCAAGTCCCTTTTCCCAAAACATTACCTTTGCTATTTCAGCTTTATACTTCCCCCAACTCTCTCCACCCACCCACACACACACACACACACACACACACACACACACGCCCCTACCCTCTTTTTAGTATATTTTCATACAATAGCTTTGTGAAACAAATATTAAATTTCCTCACCCAATGTCCCTCATCTTGCTTTACAGATTCCCTGGTATGCCATTCTTGCAAGCCAGGTTTTCGTAAACAGAAAATGTTTCCTTATCATAACCCTTACTTTCTTTAAAGGGAGTGAGATAATTCCAAAATACTTGGAATGAGAAATTTCCTATATTCTGGCCGCATGAAGTAGGCCACACTTTGTTCTGAAACTTATTTGACGATCCATACAAAAGAAATTCCTAAGCCAAAGATATCTATCTGGCAGAGGGCATTACTCAAATCACAAACTCACCTTCTAGTATCTAAAGTGACCCACACGAGACAGGGCCTCAGTTGATAGGAGAATCGCGGACTGAATGGACATGCTCGGTACAACACAGAGAACAAGAATATATGGACTCTAGGCTGACATGGGGTGATGCAGACACCAATAATGCAGCTCCCCGGGCTTGGAGCATTCCACTATATCTACTCTTTAAAAGAAAAGACATACAATTCTAAGTCTCCGACTTCAGGTACACTTTGCTTAGTCATTACAAAGAGAACGATCCACTTAACACCTATACACCTTCACTATCCACCTCTTATTTGAAGACTTTTATCACTTCGGGAACGCCCCTTAAAAGTAGGAACTGCTGCATCTGTACAGCTGCTGCAATGGTGGCATATTTCCTGCGACACTAGACAGGTAAGTAAATAAAGCAACTGCATTCGCTCTGAGGCAGGGGGAGGGGTCTTCCTACAGTAAAGAGTTTACATAATGCAACAAAAAAACAGTGAGCTCTGCAGACCTGTCAATGGAGATGCAAGACTTGAGCTCCACTCTTTCCACCTTCTCGACACTTTCACCTGCTCTTCTCTCCCCAAGACCCCCAGAAATCACACTTTGTATAACAAACCGCACACGGTCGCCCCATGCTTTCCTATCCACCTTTATTATCAAAATACATAAGCGGAAAAGGCCAAGAAGAAAATCTCCCTAAGCTCCCACTTGTGAGTCCAAAGTATGGAGTAACCAAACGGAGCCGGGGAGTTTTCCCTTCTCGGAAGGGGCAAGAAGAACAAGGCGCTGCCTCACATCTACACCACGCCCAGTAATGCAGTGACAGGCTCTAAAATCTCTACAGCGACTGGGGCAGCCCCTTTTGCGGCCAGGCCCGGCTCGGGCCCCGCGGCCCAGCAGCCACCCTCTCCCCCGGCCTTTCACAAAGGAGAATGGTTCAGTCCAGAGCATCACCCAGCACCTGATCCCTCACGACTCGGGGACCCGCAGGGGCGGGGGAGCCAGGCGGAGGATGAGTTACTAAAACCACTTCTAACAGCACAGCTTTTGCAGACACTCTAGAAGCAGCAGTGCGGGCGGGCGTGTGCCGAATGCCTACCTGAACCAGTCCTGCGGCTTCCTTTCCAACCAGGGCTTCCACTCACCCTTTCGGAGAACAAGGCGCCTTCCGGCGGAGCATGGCCAGCCCTCGCCTCAATCTAGCTTGCTAGTAGTCCATTCTCCTTTGGCTCCGCCCACCTACGCTCCCCCCGCCAATAGAGTGCCGACGTCAGGCCTCTTCCAGCAGGGTAGTGTGAGCGCCATCCAGGAAGTCTCTCCCAGGGTGGGAGGTCCTAAAAGGCTAGGACGGGTACTAGGCAACCACAGATATGCCTGATTGAAAATAAAATCCGGTGGTAGTTTAGCTCGCCCCTGACGGCTCAGTTCACTGGCGTTTAGGCCTCTCGGCATCTTTTTTGACTCCCGCCGTTGGGGGCGCTCTAATCGAAACAGCATTTAGTTACCTGTTTCTGGGAAGCCATCTTGGGTCGGGCTGGTGGTGCCTGGGAACCGGGAGGAAGAAGGAGCATTTAAATAATCTGAAGAACCCTTGTCGGGTTCTTTTGGATTACTTAGGTCCAGCCTCGCATACTCTCCTTTTTACAATCAGAAAGTGCCTCAGTCAGGTTGGAGAAAAACTGTAATAATGCTGAATGTAATTAAAGGCAACCACCATCCCTCTCGCATAGGAGTGACCAAAGAGGCAAAAAACGAATTCTTATTATGACAGTGGGTTACCCTTCATAGGGTTATAGTTTACAGATGCTTCTTTCTTTAAGATATCAGTACATGATCAACGTAGGTTATGTACCTATAGTAGGTGCTTCTAATCCTTGTGCTTGGAAGTAATTGTGCTCATTGACAACAGAGGCAGTTGGAAAGGAACAAGATTTATGATAAAATTTCAATTTAAAAAAATGAGCTAAATTCATCAAGATTCAAACTACCTGTCAGAGCAAATGTCAGACGCCTTGAAGGAAAGCAAAAATGATATAAGAAGGGTCACTAGGGTCTGGTTAGGAACATAGGCGCACGCGAGAGGCTTTCTAATAACCACACTTAAAATGGAGAGAAAATAGTTTTATCCGGGTGAAATTCTCTTGCCCTGAATGAGAAGGGTGTTTCTGTGTTTACTACTCTAAATCTCTATGGCAGTTACAACTTGCTACAATTTGTTTTTTTAATTCGTGAGTGAAGGGAGTGCTTATCATAAAGGAATTTCTCAAAGAATATGTATGTTATATGTGGTAGGAACTTAAATTTGTTTTTTTAATTTGTGAGTGAAGGGAGTGCTTATCATAAAGGAATTTCTCAAAGAATATGTATGTTATATGTGGTAGGAACTTAGAGACCATAAGGAGTCACGCGAGTAAATGCTTCATTTAAAAAGTAGCAAGACTAAGCTAAATACATTTCCCTGTATACTGAACACAATCTAATTGGCCTAATTCTCCCCTATCAAAGGCACTGGTCTTCAAAAGTCAACCAATCCCTTCAATATTTTACAACTATCATTCTTCACACATGGATAAGAGGAGACACTTTTTCTTATAATTCTTCGTGGTGTGAAGATCATCAATGAGCAACACAGTTCCTGAATTTACCCAGCTACTTTTGTTTCTGTGTGTCCCTTAAAATGTGCGAAATATCCAAATTTAAGAGGTTAGGAGTGGCTTGCATAACAGAATTGACTGTGGAATTTAGTATTAAAAAGATACACTCCACAATAACAAATTGGTGTCCTTTAATGACTCTGAAAGCAGCAGCTCCATGTAGAATGCTATCTTTGATCAATGCTTCCCAATCATTAAAGATATTTTTCTGATTAGTAAAGAAAAACTTCTGCACAATAACTATAAAGTTATATTTACTTCAGTTTTATCCCTGAGGTGAGAAGGCAACCCCCAAACTCAACTGCCTCAATCCTTTTTGGAGGTAGGATTTTAACAAGCAAAACAAAAGGCATGATCAAAAGCAATACCCCAAATGTCTTCCACCTTCAGTGGTGCAGTGTTATCTTTCTGTAATCACTAGGGGAAGAATCCAGTATAAAATGAATGTATCCAAAGAAGGCCTATTCTGATACTTTTGATATAATTCCCTAGAAAGAGTATCTACTTATGTTTGCTACAATCAAAAATGACACATGAATTATGAGCAGCCTGGATACATGCACATATTTAATAATGAAACAGTTCATCAACAACAACAACAAAAAAGAAAAATTCGTAAGATTTCAGTGCAGTAGAAGAGAATGGACGTCAAAGCAAAAAAGATACAACAACTGACCCAAAAGATAGCATGAGGAATAAAAAAAAGCAGACTTGGCTAGAATAGTATTATATGCTGCTGAAAAGAAGAATGGCTGGAGGACCATATATTTGATAGCTTGGAAACAGACAAACTTACTATATGCTGCATGGAATGAAGGCAAAGTGCCAGGGAAAGGAGAGAGAGGTGAGGGAAGCAGCAATACAGAATCCAGGCTAAGCAGACGGGAAGAATGGGATAGAATTACAAAGAGATGACACTAAGGCCTTTTGTTTCCTCTGAAGTCTCAGATAAACCTGTTCCAAGTCTTTAAGTGTGTCAGTCAAAGTCAATGATCACATAATGAATTGCACTAGGCACCGTGAAGGAACCGTACAGGGAATGTTTTACAAAAAGTAAAGGGATAATATGGCTCCTGCTCTCACTGAGCTTAGCTTACAACCTATATGAGACAGGTCCCACACATAAAACAACTACAAAACATATTTACAGAATAACATAAATACAAGTAAATATACATATGAATAAACAACATTTGAAAGCTAAGGTTTACTAAAGTTTACTGTGTCAGTAAACGTCTAGAAGTTGAGTTCAAAGAAGGCTCTCTGAAACACAAATTTTGGATTTTGAGTATAATGGTGGCATAGACGGGGGCATGAGCAAAGGTAGTGAGGTGGGAGTAAATACGCCATGTCCAGAAAGCAGATTAGCTTGATTAGAAAGTCTAAATATGTTTAGTTAAAGTCTATTTGACTTAGTTAATAATGTAATTGTATTTTTGCAGAAAAGACACTCAAATTTGTCTGGTCCCTAAAATAAAACAAGCAAGCAAGGAAAGACTGTTTTCTTTAAGTAATGAGAATAAGTAGCCATATTTCAGGAGAAACTGTGTGGCTCTCAAAAGTTGTGTAGTTACTCTAAGATAGAGAGAAGCTAGTAATAGGATGGTAGAGAAGTATTTAGCCTCGTTGAGAAGTTCAAGTAGAAGGAACGAGCTTCTGCAAGATCTCTTATAAAGTGGCAAGTGGTCTCCAAAGACAGGTTAAGTGAAATAACTCAATGAAATTTCTAAGCAGAGGATCTCTGGCTCATAAGCTATCTAGATCTCCATAACTTTTAGTGCCCAAGCAGATTGTCTGAGATCCTATTACTAATTTTACTTTGTGGGGCACACATTATGTAGGCTCATAAAACAATGCATTTACTTTTGGACTACCATGACAATCAGTTTGATGCTAATATTGTAGAAATTAAAACAGAAGAAGAATAAGAAAAGTTCTAGCTATAGGGAATGCTCACATCCCTGAAGAAGGAAAGGTCAGCAAGGAACCAAATCTCCCCTGGTCTTTTTATGTAGAAAGGCAAAATATCACACTTTGATAAAGGCTTTTCTCAGCCAAAGCAAATTAGACCTCTTTCTTTAAGCCTATTGTTCTGAAGCTGTTCCAGAAAGAAAAAAAGAGATCAGGCCAGATGTTCAGCAGCAGCCAGAGTTGGACCCTATGTCACCAGAGTTCCGCTGGGAGGAGCTGGATCCCACCGATGTTGAAATACACTGTTGGGGACCAATCTTGATGCCATTTGCCTGCAAAAGAAGAGGCAATAGTTCCCTCTCAGTTCTAAATGCTGATGTGGAAGAACAGAGCAGGAGTAAAGGAGAAATCATGATTTACATTTTCAGATACCACCTTGACAGGTAATCGTGAGCCCTGTTTACAGGACTGCTGTGAAACGATAGTCCAGGGCTATAAGGATGTGATGACCAGCTGTGGCATAAGGATTACAGGTGACTACAGTGGCCTTTGTGTCCACTTTAAGGTGACTATTTTAAGTTTTGTAGTGACATGCAGAGTCAGGATGTGATTAAGAGTAGAAGAAGGCAAAGAGTAGATTTAACACAAAATTCTGTTGGGTTTTGTCTTGAATTTTGGCTTACAGAAATAACCCTGCTGAAAAATTAAGAATCACACCTCCCCAATGCTCTGAAATAATAAAAAACAGGATGAGAAGAAAATCTTCCACACCGTATAAGCCTTTTAGATCCCTGATTAATAATCGCTTTAAGAGTCTGGGTCTCAGACTTATAGAAAAACAGAATGTGATGACAATTTTCTATCTAGTTACATAAAAAACCAAGTTGAACTGGCATAGCTTCAAATAGTGTGATTTTGGATAGCAATGCTCATGTTCTAGGCAGCTTCCTGTTCTGATTAAGACAAGACAAAGATAATTGATAGCCCCCCCATCTTCCCCAAATACACATTTTCTCACCTCATTGTGGATATCAAATAAGCCCTGCTGGATCTTCCTATATATTTCTTTGGCTGTGTTAATGAAGGCCTAAAGAAAACACAAATTGTATTATTAGGCTCAGGTTTAGGTAGAAAAATGAGGATAACAGAATATAAATATTCCTACTTGGATTTCTAAGATAAATTAAGAATTATTGGAGATGGCAGAAAAATACAGAAGGCTCCTCAAAGTTTTTATAAAAACCATTGAGAGTAGTTTCAAAGGAAAAAAAAAAAGAGACTATATGGCAGTTTAGTACTGACCTAAAATGTTCCTAGCATTCTCTACAAATAAAACAAACATGCTCTCTTTGCCATCAGTCAATACCAATTTTGGGAATGACTAGAGTAGAACCCATTACATCCTCCAATAAAGTGATTAATGAGTAACAGAAGTCTCTAATCCACACTTACAATTAATGTTATCCAGAGCAAAAGGAAAACCTTAGAAATCAAGGTGAAAGAGAATTCCTTTCAAGAGAGACATACGGTCACCATGACTACAAGCATTCTTTCCTTACCCATGCTTTACAGGAAGAGAATGCTGAATAAAAGGACATAGCCATAGTGTAGTCTAGAAAGAGTTTTTCCTATTTTTTCCCAAATATTACCTCTTCAACATTGCAGGCTGTTTTGGCTGAAGTTTCCATGAATATAAGTCCATGTTCCCGAGCAAAGGCCTCTCCTTCTTCTCTCCTCACATCCCTGCGGGACTCTAAGTCACTGCAAGAGATTAATTGGGGAGTAGGGAGGAAACTTAAAAAAGATGGAAGTAAAAGAAGCAACTCTCATTCTAAAAGAACCCCATAGCTGTTTCAAGTGCAAGTTAAGCCATAAGGAATGTAGCCCCGGCATGATACTCTAGTACAGGGTTACTGATTTCTTGCAAAATGCTCTTCAGAATCATGACAGCTGCTGCATGGTGGAGGATCAAGCCTTACTCTATTAGAGAAAAAGGTTTACAAAAGGGTAGGCAAGCCCAATTACTCAAAGCTTATGCTCTAGACTGCTTATCTGAATGAGATCCAGTGAGAATGCAGATAAGAGGAAAGGAAATGTCCAGTGGTTATAAAGTAGAAAAGTCAGAGATGCCCCATCCCGTAGTGATGAGTGCATCTTCCTCTTTTACTGAAATCAGCCCATAAGAAGAGAATTAACTCGGAATAAGAACACAGTTGCCTCAACGCTCATGTTTTTATTAACCTGTATAGTAGTAGTGTACTACCAAGGAAATAAAGAATTCAGAGAAAATTATATGGAGGGGAAAAAGCCAACGTCTAAGAAAGGGAATGAAGTGGCATTGAAAGACATTATGAAAGATGGATTTAAAACCTGCAGAAAAAAGGTAAGGGTGGTCTCTGAGTTTCAGTTTTCAAATTAGAAGTTTTTGTTTGGAAGGTTTTCAGTTTTTCAACTCTGGGGGAAAAAATTAAGAGTAACTCCATCCCTGGCATAGTGGGTTAAAGTACAGCACTAAGAAGCTAAAGTCACTTAAGCATGAGTTCGAATCCCACCCGCACCAGAGGTGATCATTTGGCGCAGCAGATCTCTCCTGACCACCCGCTGCTCCACTCAGTAGTGTACTTCATCATTCTGTCTGTTCTGCTCTCCACTCTGTCTCCGGTGAATCCTCTCACTGCTCCTGCACCTCTGGCCTGTACGCCAGCTCTGGATGCATAAATAAATCAATCTTTTTAAAAATAAGTAAATTTTTAAAAAGAACAACAAATCTACAATTTGTCTAATTTTTATTCATCGGCTGTGTGAAGACCAGAGAGAAACTATCTATTTAAAAGTCAACTCTCTTGGGCCCTCCCTGGTGGCGCAGCTGGTTAAAGCACAGCACAAAGAAGCTTAAGCCACTTCTACATGAGTTCGATCCCCACCTGCCCCGGAGGTGACCACATGGCACAGCAGACCTCTCCTGACCCGCCCGCTGCTCCCCTCAGCAGTGTACTTTGTCTATCTGCCTGTTCTGCTCCCCACTCTCTCTGGTGAATCCTCTCACCCTCTGCATCTCTAGCCTGTACCCCAGTTCTGTACAAATAAATAAATAAATCAAAAAAAAATTTCAACTCCTAAATGTGTACCTCTAGCCCAGATGCTCTTCTAAGCTCCAGATCTCTTTGTCCATTTGCCTATTGTTCATTTTCACTCTAATATATAAAAAGCAACTCAAACTTAGATCAAAATGGAACATGATTACTTTCCCACTAACCTACTTCTGCCTAAGGCTTCCACATCTCAGTAAATGGCTCAATGCAAAAACTATTATTACCATTTCCACTTTCATTTCAAATGCTCAATCCATCCCAAAATGAGGCATTCACGAAATGTACCCTAAAATGAATGTTTCCTCTCTCTCCTAGTCCACGCCACTATTACCTAGACTATTGCAACTGAACTTCCATTTCAACTCTTGCTTCCCTCCAATATAACCTTTTAAATTTTGATCAAATTTTTCTACTTAAAACTCCCAAATGCTTCCCACTGTGTTTAGAAAAAAATACAAATTACTTAAAAAAAAAAGATTTTTTTTTTTACTTAGGCATACAAGAACTGGGGTACAGGCCAGAGGTGTAGGGGTGAGAAGATTCACCAGAGACGGAGTGGGGAGCAGAACAGGCAGATGTACTAAAATACACTACTAAAGGGAGCAGTGGGTGGGACAGGAGAGGTCCGCTGTGCCATGTGGGTCACCTCTCTGGCTGGGGACTGAACTCATGCTGCAGTGGCTGACAATATCTTGATAGTGCTGAAACTTCAACCTCTGGGCCACCAGGGAGGCCCTATTTGCATATATTGTTAAAGTTGAGTTTTGGACAGTTGGTTGTACTCAAAGGCAAGTAATGCACAAAAAATCAGTGTGAACCAAGAAATGATAGTGTCAGTGCTAATCTTGATTCCAACCTTTGAGAAGCTGTGTAGTACCCAACAGGCCCACATAGATCATTAATAAATAATTTTGGCTATTTAAAGATGAAGTCTGAAAAACTCTCATGTTTTTCTTTTATTTTTTTCTCTCTAAAACCTTTTGCTTTTTGTCAGTCATTTACATACGTATATGTTACGTATGTATGGGGTTACATTTCTATGCCACTCTATGTGTTCATGCTTTATACATTCTCCACCACACCTCTCAATGCCTGGCTTGTTTTCTTCCCTCCACTCCTCTCTCCCCTACTCCATCTGGTAACCAGTCATTCTTCCCCAGAGTCTGAGAACCGTTTTTTCTTATGCATTGCCAATTTATTATTTTCTTTTGACTTAAGGGTGCCATAGAAAATTTACTGAGACTTGAACTCCCTGGTGGCACAGAGGTTAAGTTTCAGTGCTATCAAGCAGCACAAGTTCGATCCCCAGCCAAGGGAGGTGACCCACATGCACATCAGACCTCTCCTCGTTTGTCTGCTGCTCCCCTCAGCAGTGTATTTCAGAAGATCTGCTGGTTCTGCTCCCCACTCTGTCTCTGGTAAATCCTCTTAACCCCTGCACCTCTGGCCTACACCCAGTTCTTGTATGCATACGTTAATAAAATAAATCTTTAAAAAAAAAAAAAGAATGAAAATTTACTGAGACTAAGTGTGGTGAGGAAATGGAGAAATTGGCTGGTAAGAATGTAAAATGGTGCAGCCTATGGAAAACAGTACCTCAAAAAATCAAACACAATTATAAGACGCAGCAACTCCACATCTGAGTACATAACCAGAAGAACTGAAAGCAGGGACCTGAACAGCCATTTGTATACGCATATTAATAGCAGCATTAGGCCCTCCCTGATGGCGCAGCGGGTGAAAGCACACTACTAAGGAGCTAAAGCCACTTCCACATGAGTTTGATTCCGCCTGCCCCGGAGGTGACCACATGGC